TCAGACAGGTGACACAGAGTAGCACTAGCCCGTCACAAACTAGTCCTATCTTGAGCAAGGATCATACCATGCCTGGAAATAGAAGACGACGTAAAAGGCTTCAGCACAAGGCAGCCACAGGCAGTTCGTCACAATCCGTAGCACCTAATTCATGCAAGGAATGCTGTATTACGACACCCGATGGCTGCAGTGTTTGCACCAAAGTTGTTTCGGTAGTCGATGAGGCATTTGCATGCAACCTATGTCAACGATGGGCGCATTGTCACTGCGACACCAAAGTCCCCCGACAATACTATAAGTTGATGAAGAGACAACCATGCAAGTGGTTCTGGTACATCTGTCCAGAGTGCAGGAAAATGCCCGCACTGCGCACAGAAAGCCTGAAGGAGATGCTCTCCGCCACGCAAAAGCTACCAGCACCCTCGAATAAAGTAGGGTTAACACCAAAAGATAACACACAGAGACCTGGAAACAGACCTAGAGCTCCAGCTGCCGGCACGCCACCTCGCGTGGGGACCATATTAGGTCAAGTCTCCATACCTCCTACCCGGCCCCAGGGGACGTCAAGCGTATGGCCAAAGACATCGACCGCTAAAGCCTCTACGAAACCCATTCCAAACACCTTACACACCGTGACTGAGAAACAACCAGTGGAATTACTCAAACCCATTGGGAAGTCAAGCGTGCCACCCACAACGAACCCAGGTCACAGGAGGACCAACTCGATCATTTTGTTCAACGTCGATGTATCGACAGACTCATTGTTGGTCGAGAGGGAACGGTTTGACAGCCGAATGTGGACCGACTACTGTCAGATGCTAGGACTCCCTCCCCTCCCTGCAACTTTATGTCGCCTTTCTCGAGGAAGCCGTGCACCCCGAGATAAGCCACCCCCTTTACGTGTGTCCCTAAATACTACCAAAGAGGCTGAAGACACACTCCTCCTCTCGCGACAACCGGACGTTGTTAATGCCTGTAAAATTCGGGCCAGGCCTGACAAGCCATGGTCAATAAGAGAGGAGGAGAGAAAGTCAGCGGTTGGAAATCCCAACAGAAACAACACTATAGTTGTACATGGGATTCCAGAATTGCCAAGTGACCGCTCGGTCAAAGATCGGTACTTTCACGACGTCCAACAATGGCAATGGCTCTCAACCAAAGTTGGTCTCAACAGTATACCGGCCAACAGCGTCAGTAGACTGCCAAGGCCAGCGCACCTGAAGACCATACCCAATCCCAGACTACTCGCCGTCCAGTTCGACTCATATGCCTCCCTCACAGACGTTCTACAGGCATGGTATAATGCGAAGGATCGCATGGGTGGCTCAATACGTATATGTGAAAGTAAGCCTAGACCCACAAGGCAAGAGGAGAGACGACAACCACCAAGACCCTGGAGTCAGTGGTCGTCACACAGGCGCTGACCAGTGAGTTAGATACATCAAGTAAAGAAGCTACCACTGCCACAGCCCCCACCCAAGTTAATAACAAAACACCAAAAAACGGAACAATGCCAGTCCTATGAGGACTGGCGAGGGTAGACCCAACCACATAAGCTGTCATCCTGCGAAAATACACAACCAGACCTCCCCCTCACCAGGCACACTCTAATATGTATGTACAGCAACGTTAGGGGGCTAAGAGGGAAGGTAGCAGAAATGAGGACGCTGCGTGCACATCAGCACTCCGACATCATATTCATCACCGAATCCTGGCTCTCGCCAGACATCTCCGACGAAGAGATGCATGTTACTGGCATGGAACTCTTCCGCAGGGACAGGGAACATAGAGCAGGAGGAGGAGTGGCTATCTACGTAAACTCTTGTTTAAAGGCAAGGATGGTTAGCGATACGGCCTTAACCCAGGTCCCAGAGTCCCTATGGTGCTACTTCACTCTCCACAGTACCAAATATTTGCTCGGAGTCATATATCGGTCCCCCACCTGCTCCCCTACACATAAGGAAATGATCATCAAGGCTATCTTAACGACTTCCTCTGCAAATTACGATTCCGTAGTCATTGCCGGCGACTTCAACACCCCGTCCATCCTCTTCGAGACGGAAGGGAGACGCATCAGATCCTTCAATCAGAAGCTGAAGGATGCAATTAAGACTGCTGGCCTCTCAGAGAAAGTGGGTGATGCTACACGCTGGGGACCTAACGGAAACGCATCGCGCCTTGACTACGTTCTGACGAACGATGAACTTCTCATTGAGGATGTTTGCATCCAACCTCCCCTTGGCCTCAGTGACCACGCTGTAATCACCTTCTCCATGATAACTAGGGAGGCTCTGCAACTGGAGACGCCCAACACCTTCCCTTGCTACAGCAAGGCCAACTATGAGACCATGAGGGACTACCTCATGAATGCATCATGGCCAGTGGACTGGACTCATCTCACAATAGATGAACACTGGTTGGAGGTGAAGAAAATAATCACTGGGGCCATCAGTCACAGTGTACCAGAAGTAACACACAGACAATCAATGAGAACCTCATGGTTAAAGCGTGGGACAGAGAGGCTTATCCGGAGCAAGAAGCAGGCTTGGTTCAAGTGGCTTACATCACGCAGGGAGTCTGACTTCTTGAACTATAAAAGGATTCGCAATCTCTGTAACATTAGAGTGCGTAACGACAGATTTTCCTACCAAACAAACTTGGCAGCGAGGTTACAAAGCAACCCCAAAAACCTGTACCGCTTCATGTCAAGAAGAAAGTCGACCAGTAAGGGAGTGAATCTTGTCACAGGCCATGACGGGAGTGTGCTAAGCAGTCTAGAGATTGCCGAGCTTTTGAGCTCACACTTCCAAGCCCAACTCAGCACTGACACAAGATCCACACCGACTCGCCACGACACCGACCAGGTCGCAAATAACGAATACCTCTGTCACGTCTCTATTACAGAGAAAAAGGTGTTCGAGAAGCTATCTAGGCTACGTCCGGGCAAGTCCCCTGGCTGCGATAATCTGAAACCAGTGGTTCTGAAAAACTGCGCCGAGGTGCTTACCAAACCACTTCGCAACCTCTTTGAGCACTCAATAGACTCGTGCAAACTCCCTAAAGAATGGAAGAGTGCCATCTTGTCACCCATCTTCAAGGGAGGAGACAGAAAAAACCCTGGCAGCTACAGGCCGATTGCCCTACTCCCTATTGTGTCGAAAGTGTTGGAAAGCCTGGTAGCTGACACCATCTGGGAATTCCTCAATAGAGAAAACACTGTCCACACTGCTCAGCACGGCTTTCGTAGTGGTCGCTCATGTGCCACCAACTTACTAACTGCCTGGGACGACTGGACACAAAGCTGGGATAATAGAAAACCTGTACATGCTGTATTTCTCGACCTAGCCAAAGCATTTGACAGTGTCCCACCCACAGTACTGCTTCACAAGATCATGTCAGCTGGTATAAGTGGACCCCTACTCTCTTGGTTCAAGGAGTACCTGGAAGGGAGGCAGTTCTGCACTAAAGTGAACAGAATAAGGTCGGAGTGGAGACCGTCGACGTCAGGAGTATCCCAAGGAGCAATCCTAGGACCGCTTCTGTTCCTCCTGTTTGTCAACGATCTGCCAGACAAAATATCCTCACCCATCCTCCTCTTCGCTGACGACATAAAAATTTGGAGGGTGGTAAACGAAGAAGCCGACTGTGCAGCACTACAAAAGGACTTGCAGCAACTCGAGCTCTGGTCGTCGGAAAATGGTCTGAGCTTCAACTGGAAAAGTGCAAAGTAATGCACATCAGTAAAAATGAGGCAAGTACGACCGACTTCCAGTACATGTTGAGCAACCGTGCTATCACCAGAGTGTCCATGGAGAAAGATTTGGGGCTCAACTTCTCCGACACCTTGGACACCAGCTCCAACTACAAAGGTATGACAACCAGAGCGAACGCCATTCTACACTTTCTGCGTAGACAGCTTGGCGCCCTCACTCCCGAACTCTTCCTCACCATTTTCAAATCCTACGTGCGGCCGCACCTAGAGGTCTTCAATACGGTGGCTCCTCCAACACTCAAGAGAGACTCTAATCTCCTTGAAAGAATACAAAGAACTGCAACAAAATGTGTTGTGGGGCTAAGGGGAAAGACGTATCCTGAAAGACTTAAACACCTCAACCTATTTACCTTGGGTTATCGCAGGAAAAGGGGTGACCTCATTATGGCATACAAGATCGCCCATCAGGCAGACCATGCAAACAAATCAATTTTGCCTGCAACTGAACGATCTTCACGAGGAAACCCCTTTAAGATAGCACACCAGAGAGCCAACACCACACTCAGGTCCAAATTTTTCTCCCTGAGAGTATGTGCTTTATGGAATGCCTTACCGCGACACATCGTTATAGCTCCTTCAATCGACTCTTTCAAGAGGCGATTAGACAGTTATGTCACCTCGCATGGACTACCACGGACGTACTCAGGTAGTCACCAACCTCAGTACCCCCAACTCCCTCCTAACTACCACTCACTATCTCTCTCCTTAATACACCCACATTACCTACTAATTCTTCTGTAGGAACCAAACCCACGCGACCATTCGGGCAATTCCCAAATACTTTTCTTTCGTTCTCATTTCTCTCTTCACCCCTTCTTTTATTCTCCTTCCCTTTCCTCTTCCCTACATTATTATTACTATTATTTTTAATTATTTATTTATTTTTTTTTACTCTTCCTTATTTCTCTCTTCATTCCTTTACCACTACCTTAATATTCTCTTTCAGGTACCTACACAGACAGGAGTCACGGTTGTTCTCTAAACTTCCCAGCAGCCCGTAGCTCCCTAATCACTCTACAAATTACAACCTACTAACCCACAAAACATCCACCTCACCGAAGCTAAAAGCAAGAAAGCAGAGGGGATTTCCTCGTCCACTGCAGGAGTGAACCGAACAACTGGAACCAAGCCCTAAGAACTAGACGCGAGAGATCAAAAACTACTAGTTTTCTACGCTCGCACTATCAATATTGGATATTGGACATTGGAAGCCCTAAGAAATAGATGTGAGAGATGAAAAACCATAAGTTTTCTGCGTCCGCACTATGAATGTTGGATACCAGATTGGATGTTGGATGTTGTAGGTCATTGGTTTGCAGTAGGTTTGACACATCCCAATGGCCTTGACTTCGGAAAATGGATTTGTATGGCCCTGGCAATACAAGTTCCCACCATTTTTCACTCTCCAACCTAATATTGAGACTCGCCGCAAGCAAATAAATGCATGGTGTCAGCTACTGATTGATTATTTTCAAAGTAAAAAGCAGTTCTCCTTGAGTGTTGCAAGCATTCGTGATCCCTCTTGCCCGCTTTTTAATAATGCGAATATACAACGCTCAGCCAGTTCTGATTTGGTTTCCCTTGTCTTAGACGAGTTGTGTAGGCGTGGAAACCTTGAATGGGTAGATAGGTGAGTAATTGTTATTGGGTAAAGAAGGAATTCAGGAGCATATCGCCATCCCAGCCAGGAAACGCTGTGGGTGCACTGTGACATTTTTGGGTAATTTGAGCGCACTTTGACAATTTCAGGAACGAGGATGAATTGTCTGTGCTAAGCCCAAAGCTTTTCTGCCCAAAAATTTCAAGGTGCTTCCGAAGTGTCCTGCGGGACAATATTAATAATATTATTTATTATTGTTTTCCCTTTGGGTTCCTAGTGAAACATATGATTTCAGTAGCACACCTTCATTATACTCTCTTCTCTTCAGTCTTGAACCTCTGCATCCTAGTAAGTGACGTTCCCACTGAAACTCGAACCCAGGACATACCGCTTCAAACACCATCAGTCACTGTGGTGGGGGGTAGGCACATCCAACCGACGGGTCCCAAGTGGGAGGAAACACACATTCTGGCTTCCACTACTAGTTATCACCAGGTAATTGATATCAAAATGAAACTTGAAGTAATGTAGTAGCATCTGCACAGGATCTCATATACTAAAAGAGGTTGATTAATATGATCTAGTATAAGAGAGAAATTAAGAGTGTGAATGACTGTAATTGGTATATGTTAGCTTCGAATTCCACGATTTGGTACTCGATTACTTAAACTACTAATTCGCTTATAGCCCGAAGAGATTTATTAAACTTTCAGATTTGTTGATCTATTATCATTATTATTTGTCCCTTGGGTTCCTAGTGGAACATATGGCTTCAGTAGCACACCTTCATTGCACTCTCTTCTCTGCAGTCTTGAACCTCACTCCACGACTGCCCGGAAGCTTTCATTTCTTTCTCACACGATCTCCTCCATGTCACTCTCGCCTCGAACACTCAACTCGTCGTTTCCCTTTTGGATTCCACTCTAGGGTCTGGCGCGTGATGTCCTCACTCGGCCTTCTCAGTGTATGCCCAATCCATCTCCACTTTCATCCTCTGCATTTTTGTTGGGTGGTAGGTTCTTGGCTGGTTCGTTGCCAGCCAGAGTGAGTTCCTTGTTGCATATTCTTATTATTCTGGCCTTCTGATCTTCAGTATCGAGTGAGCACAGGCGGCAGCTGATGATGTGGTGTATGTCTGTAGTTTGTTGGAAATGCTTTTCGTAACGCGCCAAGTCTCGCAACCATCACATAGAAGCACTGGCTTGACTGAATTAGTGTTGAAAATCCGGATGTCGTTCACGCTTAATGCTGAGTGCAGAAGATCTCCACAGTGACTTCAGATTAATGGAAGTCTGTCTTGCTTTGCCGATCCTGGTTTCGACGTCCTCGTCTATGCCGCCTGAAGTGTAAACGATGGTGCCTAGGCAGGTAGGAGAAAGAGACAACATACTTTAGATTTCTCCCGTTGATGGTGATTGGGTGTCTTCATTACCTCTGCCTTCTCTACATTCACTTGAAGTCCCATCTTCGATACCTCTTCTGTTTACTTGTTAGTTTTTGCCTGTGGATCTTCGAGTTTGTGCGACAAGACATTAGACATATATCATCATCGGCGAAATCCAAATCTTTTAGGCTCTTTTCCTCGGTCCAGCCGACGCATGCCCATCTTCTCGCTCCTTACAGTTAGTTGCATGATCTAGTCCAGTCGACCACAATCAGGAAGGTTATCGGTGATAGTAGGCAGCCTTATCTTTCCCCTATTTTCACTTCAAAGGCGTCACTGAGCCTTCCACTGTGGATCACTTGGCATGTGGCGTCTTCATATAGCTGTTGAGTGAGGTTGATAAAGATTTGTGATACTCCGTAATGTTGGAGCAACTGACAAATTACTTCTCAATCGAGGCTATCGAAGGCCTTTTCAAAATCGATAAAGTTGAGGTAGACAGTTGACTGCCATTCTATGCTCTGTTCTATGATGATGCTCAGGGTAGTGTTGCAATTTGATGCACACATGATTTGTTCTTCCTGAAGTCAGCCAGCCAGCCGGCCAGACTGTTTCGGTCGTAATTTTGAATCCAGTGCATGTTTTATTCTCCCCAGTATGATGCGGCATAATATTTTGCTTGGTGTGGGTGGATAGGAGCATGACTCCGTGCCAGTTCTTGCAAAGGCTTAGGTTACCGTTCTTTAGAAGTTTGACAAACTAGCCCTTCTTGCAATCAATGGACAGCTACCTGTCCTTCCTTCCTTCCTTGCAAACCGTCTACAGTAGTGGTGTGAATGTGTCCTCTGTTGTCTCTGCGTCTATTTTCAGTACTTCTGGCGGAATTCCATCTATACTGGGATTTCATACATCAAGTAAACACTCTAAGTAACTAACGACACTATTTGCCTTCAAAGTTGTTACTGGTTACTCTTCTGTATTATGTGTCTGTCTTCTGAAGTGGTCTTCATGAGCGCTGAGAATTCCAAAGTGTACCACAAATTGTTTGGAATAAAGTGAATTATTATTATTATTATCATTAAGAATTCAAAGCATGATCTCTTTCACCGGACAGGTGATAGGAGTCGTACATTTACAAAATCACTCAAATTAATCTGTGTAAATATGGTGTACCCAATTTCTGTAGAGCACATGAAAGTCTCCGTATAGAAAAGGAGTGTAATTGTTTGCAAAATATTGCATTTTACTAGCCATCAAGTGTTAACCACAATTTTCCATTGCAAGTCCTGGATGCTTTCCATTTGTCTCGGTCCCTATCACAATATTTCCTGCTGTTAAAAGCGATATTCTTTCTTAGTCGCCATCTTACTATATTGTTATGATATGTAGTCAGGGAAGTATATCAGAAGACAAGAAGCATTCGCTCCACCTAATAAGTGAGCCATCTCTTAGATATAATATAAAAGTTAACCTTGTGGTTCATGTTGTGTGTGTATTGACCGAGACACCAAGAGCACGTTACACATCATCTGCTGGCCAAATTCTTAAGTCAGGTGAAAGATGAGGATGATCAGGTGACGGCACACCGGGGCATTAAGTCAAAAGCTGTTGATTTGTGCGTTACAGGGGAGTGTAAGCTGTTTGCATGGGGTTTTTCGGTCTCTGAAAGTCATAAGTTGTTGATTCCAGATCATTGCTCAAATTTATGACTTGAAAGGGTACATCCACTTCAAAAGTTTTGAAATCTCACTAGTTGTTAATTGTCTTAGTTCACATGTTTCTTACTGATAGTACTGTCTTTTCATGGCTCTTTTCCACTTAGGTGCTGAACTCATCAACTGAGTGAACTTTAATACTATATTCACTCGATTCGCAGCCTAATTCATGAATATACATGATTTGTTGTTTATTTCTTTGTGGGGACCGAGGTTGTAATTCAGTGGTGAATGCGTACTACTTTCATCTACCGAGTCTCAGTTTCTAACCAGACATTTTTACTCTTTTGTGGGTAGCTGCACAAGTAGCCGTTAGATGGAGTCTAGTTGAGGGTTTTGGTTCCCACCTTCTGACTTGATGCCGTACCTACACCTACGATACTGCAGTAATCAAACTAAAGCTCCTGGACTATAACCAACAATTTAGACTTAAATATCTAGGCTATGCTAAATGTGGAAACATTTGAAATGAAGTAATTTTCCTAGTTCACGTAAATGGTGAGTTCGTAAAAGGTGTATTTAAGTAATGAAATTAAAAAAATATTTAATACATTGGGTTACTTCATATTCAGTTACTGACCTACTGTTTTCCGTAAACTGTTAGCAATCCTTAAGCTGATGTTAGAAAACGTCAGTAGGTTTCGGAAACTTCTGAACAAATGAACGGAGACTTCACGATAACGAGCAAGAACAGTTTAAATGTGAATTTATGAAAGTCTCCTTAGTGATAACAGTAGGTGCAACATTGGAAGTTCACAGAATGGAAAAATCAAAGGTAATAAAACCACAGTAGGAACTTCTTTCTAACTAATAACCAGATGAGTTATAACATTATAAGCTATGGAAACTTCCCAAGAAAACTAGGTGATAACAGTTCTAAAGGGGACCAGAATGATCCAGGGTAAGGAAAAATTCAAAAAGCCTACAGTTTCTCATTGTTTAATGACTGTTTGGTTAGTATTAGGTCTTCATCTGTTGAATAAGTTGGTGTATATCGATATTTATTCAAAGTATTAACTTATCTGACTGAGATATTCATTTAAGGTGAGCTAGTTTGGATTGTTTAACTACAGTTTGATCTGTTTTTTGCCATAGTATAGTAGTCTTTGTGTAATGATAATGGGGTTTCTTTAAACCACATTGTTTTCAGTATCAGCTGGTCATTACTAATATAATGCTTGAGTGTGACTTAAAAACAGAAAATATTCGAGAAGCAAGTGGGTCTCAATCTTCGTCTTGGTATCAGGGTCGAATATAAAAGAATTTGAAACTAGTTGTTGAAATCCGTATAAAGAAATAGACCCTACTATACTAACAAACCTTCGGACTTAAAGCTATTCATAAAAAACAACAAGACGTGGTTTCAGCGAAGAAGAATTTTTCTTTTTGACGAAGTCATTTACTAAGCTGTACATTCGTGAATATATGTCACAGTGGGTAGAATGTTCCAGAATTGTTTCCGGTCTGGGGGCAAAATACATTGAGTAACTAAAGGAAGTTAATTAATACACATTTACGTTTAGAGTGGGAAAATAGACGGGATTATGAAATTAAACGCAATTACGTAATACATGGTGGATGTATGGTAAAGTAGGAAACTGAACGAAGGGTTATGAAGATAAAATTGCGATTATGTAACACCGGATAAGCCTATGACAGAGTATGAGAATAAACGGAGGATCATGAAAATAGGATCGTGATTACGCAACACAGGTTAAATATGTGACAGTAGGAAAATAAAGAGGGTATTATGAAAATAAGATTGTAAATACGTAATGCGGGTTAAATGTATGACAGAGTAGAAAAATGAAAATTTTCACCTTGTCAAACTCCTAGCCTTCCTCGATATTTCTACTGTCTTAGTTTATTACGCAACTACTTTGCATTCTTGATTCCGGTTTTTCAGTACTAGGTTAATGACGTAATTATACCCTATTGTTTTATAATAGACTTTTATATGATTATGTTATATATAAATACGATTGTACAGCTATAGAAAATGATATTGTGGAAAAAGAAAATCTTCTTCGCTGAATTATCTCTTCTCTAAATGTTCGAAACTTTAACAGTGACAAGGGGTGTATGCATCTATTATCATTATCACTGATTTTGAACGATGCCACAGAGAACCTCCAACCATTGATTTCTGTCATTTCGAAGACCCCAGATAGGCAGACCATACCTTTCTGTATGTCTTAGACTACTGGTCAAAGACTTAGTTGACCAATGACACGTCTTGACCTGACCACCCTAATCCTCCTTCCAACATAACATTCCTTCGGTTAACACTCCGCTTTTGGGTAGGTGGTGAATCGGCATGCATGAGGTGTTCAAATCACCTTAGTCCCTGAAGCTTCACAAAGTGATCGATAGACTCGTCTCTTTTGTCATGTACTGCGCCTAACCTTGACATTGGTCACATTAGGATTCCGCCACTTTGGATTCCCATAAACTATTTGGTACATCTGTTAGTCTGTTGAACAATTTCTTTCCTCAGTTCTCGAAAGCTGCGGTTAGCTAACTATCAAGTCTTACCACTCAGTGTTTTTTCTGGCTTGAAATAAATTTCTCAGTGGAGATTTGGAGGACAAACATCTTAGTTCCATTCAAGTTCCGGCTAGATTTTAGAAGCTGAAGCGTTAGTGTAAACGTGTAACTCACCCTCGAAAGCAACAAACTCCGGACAATTAGCCAGGTTTAAGACCTGGAGGAAAATGAGTCGATCATATACTCGCTGTTAAACTTGTTCCGGAGCAGACATATTTACCGGCGACCTACTTTTGCCCTGTTTATTGATCTAAAGGCGGCATTCGATTGTCGACTGGGTACTGTGATAGAGTCTGACTTTGAAGAGAGTGCCGAGCAAGTATGGGATTCTAACCAAAGTTCTCTGCTCAAACTCACTCAACTGTGCAAGGGCTTAAGGAGTGCTATCGTTCCGTGTAATGACAATTAGTAGTTTCCTTCACTGATGACCACTGTTACCACTCTTGTAAAGCTTTGTTATGGACGTACCAATGGATAAAATTTAGGTACCTCTAACTTTACAGGGACTAACTTTATTGAGTTAAAATGCGCAGATATGGTTCTGTCAAGCAAAGATGCTGACAATATGCAGTTTTCTATACGTCATGAGCAGGAATCTTAGTGTTTAGCATGCACTTTTCGCCTAGTCAACACTTTGCACTACTTCACCCATTTTTGAGGCTGCATCAACTCGAAGAGTTTGATTGTTGACGAAATCTCAACTCGGGTACAAAAGGCCTATTTGGCATTTCCCAACTTACATCCGCTCTATCACCAATTGGCGGGTTATCCAACTATCTGTTCGAGGATGAGTATACTACTTAACAGTTCACACTGCGAAACTTAAAGACAGATATAAAGACAATAGAGATTTCTTATCCCACTTGCCATCCTAGTGTCTCTCGTTTTTGCTGAGACCTCTGTGTGAGCATTGTGATGGTTGGGCGCAGTACATGACAAAAGAGACGAGTCTATCGATCACTTTGTGAAGCTTCAGGGACTAAGGTGATTTGAACACCTCATGCATGCCGATTCACCACCTACCCAAAAGCGGAGTGTTAACCGAAGGAATGTTATGTTGGAAGGAGGATTAGGGTGGTCAGGTCAAGACGTGTCATTGGTCAACTAAGTCTTTGACCAGTAGTCTAAGACATACAGAAAGGTATGGTCTGCCTATCTGGGGTCTTCGAAATGACAGAAATCAATGGTTGGAGGTTCTCTGTGGCATCGTTCAAAATCAGTGATAATGATAATAGATGCATACACCCCTTGTCACTGTTAAAGTTTCGAACATTTTTAAAACCCTCTTCTGCTTATTCCATCTCCTCTTACATACATGTGTTTTCGTTCGTAATTACTGTTTTCAGAGAAGAGTCCTTCTTCGTCTCTAGAATCTGGTTGTTTAGTATAGCGGGGTTCAAAGATATAGGCTATACAGTGTCCTTGAAGCTTATGGTACTGTGATGAAATGAAGCAAGTGTTTTCTGAAAGAATTTGGACTTTTCCTCACCTAACCACTCACATTTAAGTAGCATTTTAGATTAAAGTTTGTTCATAGTTTGCCTTTTTGTCGCTTTTAGGTCTCATAACAATGCTAGAATTATATGGCGAACGTCTGAAGAATGGGCTGACCTTATATCCAAATGGGCTCGATCTACTGGTCACGGGAACTCAGTCTGTACGTTTTACGAGTTGACTGATGGTGATGATACAAGACAGGAAGCTTTTCATGGCCTAGATATTTCTGTTTTAATAAATGCATTGACTGTACTTCAAAAGCGTGGTAAAGCTGAAATAATGGGAGACACAGGTGTAAAGTTTTTCTGCTAATGCCTGTTGCCTGACGGTTAACAAATAACGTTACATGGCAAATTATCTGCTTGTCGCTCCTACCCTATACAAAGCTTTCATTCACAAACTGTATGAGATTGAAGTTATTATGTCACTTTTTATTTTCTTTTATGTGGAACTACTAAATATTATTTTCTCGTTACTTTAATTTCCCTATCTACTAACACTGGGACCTTCATACAAATTGTATTTCAAACCCCACTTATTGTTTCCTAATATCATACTTTAAAAACGACTGAAAACAGAAATATGTACAAATTAACTGATTTTACAAGTGAAATATCTATTTTAAATCCTACCTCTTAGAATTTCATGTTTTACTGGGGAAATCCGGTGTGTATGTATGTGACATAATCGGAAACTTAACTTTTGATGTGTTAATAGTAAATATTTTTCAAAAGGTAAGTGACTGTTCGCTATATAGCGGGAAAGGTGAAGTGAAGAAGAGGCTAACTACCAAATTTGTAAAGTGTTATCTTTTCCGTAAACAGTTAGGGTAGCCTAATGTGCCGTGATTACGTGCTTGTAGATAAAACAATAACAGTTGCCGAATTTCTTCATGATTTGTGGTTTTTATGAAAGCCCATGCAATAATGATAAAGTATGCCTCTTCTTAGTTAGTAAACACTGACTTTCTGGGCTTTTCTAGCATCACAAGAAATTCATTTTTAAGTATAGACTTGTGTTCTGGACTTCAAATGGATTACCTAGTTGGTACTTAAACACTCACCTTCTGTATCTAATCCAGCTTTATTTGGATTTCAACAAGAAAACTTGGTTTTACAGCTAGTTTAATGGGATGTGAACAGTGGAAAACTTGTCAGTCATATGGTTTTTGGGCAGAATGCTCGCTAAAATGAAAATATTTTCTCTTGTTTCAACCGGTGAAATGCAACACTTTTAATCTAGAGGTCACTAGTTACAATCCTGCCACAACACAGATTTTCATTCACTTTCAGTCGTCATCTGTGGTTACGAACATCAGTCTGTCAATCGAGACTATGTAAAGCTTTTCAGTTGTTATTCTCCTATTACCGTTCTGACAGAACCTCTCTCTAACTTACATTAGTTCAAGATCACAAAAGGGAAATATTGTTAGGGAAAACGACTGAAAACAGGGAAAGTTACGGTAATACTACTGGTGTATATAAGAAACTTAGTCCAGTAGGACTATTGGGATACCTTTCAAGTTGTATCTTCATCAAATATGGTTGTGAAACTTCACTAACTTCGGTGACTTGGACATGTTAGGCTTATCGTGCTAGCCTCAAACCTTGACGTCCCTTGTTAGCTGAAGTAGGATTGGGTTGGAAGAAAGCTCAAGGTGGCTAGATCAATGAAGGATACCAATTCGCAAAGTCTCTGACTGTCGATCTGAGGCTTGTACGGAGGTGTATCCTCAAGGTAATAGGAATCAGTGGTCCGAGGATCTTGGTGACATAGCTGAAAACCGTTGAACTGATGGAATTCTGTGCGATGCCTCACATTGATTTTGTTGGTCAGTCTATAACACTTATTCCCTCTATCATCAATTTATTTGACAGTGTTATTTACCTGTTCATTACCTCTCCTATAACTCATTTTCATCCACTTTAATTTGTTTTCCAGAGCTTATTTCTTTCTTTTGGGTTGTTAAGTACGACAAATTGAAATGATGCACTTCAGGGGAAGGTTCTATGCTGATTTGTCTGTCCAGCATATTTATTTCGTGAAATGTAGCTCATATTTCCGAATCTTCCCACATAAGTCAACCAATGTGTTGATTTTTCTTATTCTTACCACGTCCTATCCTTAGGTTTCTAACTCTTTCTTCGCACCTTTCAATAGGCTATACATACGTATTCACCTACAGACATGTGTATCAAATTCTTTGTCTACTATAGTCAACTGAATTTAACAGTTTTCCCTTTGATTTTCGAGACAAACTTGATATGTGTACGTTTCTTGCATCTGCTAAAATAGTAGTAGTCGACAAAAAGATAACCATTAGGTCATAAAGAAAAGAAGAGATAATTCAGCAAAAGAAATTTCTTTTTCCGATGATGCCGTTTTTGCATGCATATTTATATTTACTACAAATGTATAACGGTCTTACTGAATGATAAAGCAAAGTCGCGTTACGAAATTAGTACTCACACTGAAATAAAAAGTCGAGAGGAGTTGCGTAATAATCTATTAGACAATACCAGAAAGGCGAAAGGTTGATAGTTTGACAGGGTGGGAGATTGTTGGTAGATATGAAATGTGATGGTTGAATGTCCACTTGATAAATTTTAAGGTGAAGAAAGAAAACAGGGTCTTAATTGAAGGTGATAGTAGTTAACGTGATTATTATAATAAAATCAAAAAACGAGGAAGGGTTAAGACCATGGAGTGTCATCACTTTATTCAATTTTAGTGTCTACTTCGATCCGCTCTGCATGGAACTTCCAGATGATGACAAGAGTTGTAAGTAGATAGAAAGAGTAAATCGGTATCGACGTTTTTTCTATAAAGGATTCCAGTGTCATTTGTTGCCGTTTCTGGTAACCGTAAGACTTGAATTGGAAAAATGAATTCCATTGGATGCAGTTAGCAGATAAAAAAGAAGGACGAAATTTTTGTTGAGTCAAGATTTATAGTTTCTTCATGGCTGAACGCGTGGATTTCTTCCAGACAAAGTTTCATATCGCCTTCTGTCGACCTTCTGATCAGGCCAGGAAGGGTCGGTTGTTTCATTTAGTTCTCATTTAGATCAGCTTGAAATATTTAAGAGTTAAGTAACTTCAGAATTTGTCTTTCTTTACTCAATAAATTGTTCAGTTGTTTAGTCCGAATTAAACTAATCCCTGATTCAGCACTGCAAACTGAATTTATATACTCATACCTGCAAAATTAAGTATCTGCAGGTGCTTATGTTAAACTGTAAGGCGTATATATTGTGTTATGTCCAAACCGCCGCATTCGGCAAGTGGTTTGAAAACCTAGTATCCGACTCCATATAAGTGAAATTCTGACCCATATCCTTCGGGAATACAGTGATAGGCGAGTGTAAGCCATGCGGGACCACATAAAATTAAAACTTTCCCACCAAGTGATGAGCGTATTTATCAGGAGGCCTCTAAACATAATTAATCTCTCCAATATGCTGCCTATTAGGAAAGTTGTATTTATTTCGGTAATTTTAAAGGATTTCAGTACTTGTACAATAGAACAGTTCAGATTAAAATGTAATGTTCTGAAAGTCCAAAGATCGATGGGCGGTTGCTTAACACTTTTTGATTACAAAAAAGTTTCAAAACGAACCTTTCGTTTTTTGATCAGATTTAGATCTAAACCTATGTAGAATGACAAGGCTTGTATGTTTTTATACGGTCAATCATTTGCTTTTGATGTAGGCAACGCAGCGAAATTTTGTTTCGATCACTATTTGACAATTAACAACCAGTGACAACTATTTTCTTATCATCTGTTTTTCACAGACTACTATTATCTCTCACACTGAATAGTCGTTATTGGCATAAGTCGATTTCATTTTAGTTTCTGATTTGTATTGTTTCTATATCACCGTAAAGGATAATCAATAAATTAGGCTGCTCTTTAAAAAACTTAACGTTGGGATTTCAGTTTTATTAAAGGAAGTTGAACTACTTACAGGTGTTCAAAAGTAGCCAATCATGTTATTTAGAATATTTGTGATTTTGTGATGCAAGAACATCGTGGGTGGCATTTGAGGACAATAATCAATCAATAATTCATTCATTCTACCAGTCGCTTAGTGATTTAAAAATTACTTTTGATTTTTACTTTGTAAGTGACCAAAGTGTTTCAGGTTCCAGATGTTGCTCATCACGTTAATAAGTGTCAGTATAGGGAATACTGGGGTCGATTAAAATTACTTTAGTACTGGTTATAAACCTCACTTAAAATGAAAGATGCATGAGTGAAGTCTACATTTCTCCGAAAAACCTGTGTATATTTGATAATAACACAGTTGTACCATTATCAATAATCTTCGGACAGAAAGTGAGGACTGGAACGTTAACAACTAAATATAACCATTTATAATATTATAAGCATCCATTCCATAGATGTTACGAATGTCCTGAAAGAATTTGAGCTCCAAGTTTGATTTAATCACCACATAAGTAAGTTTAGACATGATCCCAGATATTCTACCTTAGAAGCTGTGGCGTATGCAGCGAAAAACTGGGAAAAATTTCATATGGATTCTCTAAACATACTGGGATTATATTAAAACTTCGTTGGTTATAATATTTTCCAATTTTGAGGAATCTCCTAAGTTTTAAGTGGAAACTGAACAGCCTTTTATGTTTTTATTACCAAGAGTAACTTAAAAGAAGTTTACTGAAAGTAGTTTCAAGTTGTGTGGACTCATTTTAATGTAATAAAATTTGTATACTGTTCTTTTAATAAAGTGAAACAGTCAGAAGATTATTTTTCCTCAATTGCTTTAAATGACTGTATCACACAAACATAAAAAAGCTCCTACAACATGAAATATTCAATGATTCAAGAAACGATTAAGTACAATGTACAAAGTCAACTTCAAGGACAGTATTGAATTCATCGTTAATACACGATACGTCCAAAAACAGAAAATCATAATCCTTTCAGCCATCGTGTTGAATGACATTAAATCACTTTACTTCAAAAATTCTACAGTGAACAAAGTGAATTCTTACCAAAGAGAAATAGTAATGAAAATTTATCCAATTTGAAATTAGAAGTATGAATTCAACTCAGTGTAAGCGATTGTCAAGATCAAAAATTACTGCTGATCAATTTTTTGGGTTCCTTTATCATACATGTTCTTTGGATTTAGTACACTTGTAAATGATTTGCAGGTTATTTCTAGCATTCTAGGTATGCAAACATGAAATTAAACATTCAGAAGAATGTTACTCTTTGGAATGAAAATGCACATAAATTTTAGTGATTGACAGTATTATAAAGTCTAGTCATCAATTATAAATGAAGCTTATTGACCACAAGACTTAACTTGAGTACTTCAGTCTTATAAGTCTTATCCATTTAAGGTTAGCTCAGTGTGATCTGCCAGTGAACTGGCTTCCATCTATGCACAAAGGCACATAAAGTCATGCACTAAGTATGTGACGTTTTGCTAGGCGTTTATGCGCGTCATTAATTAGATGATGCATCACTTGGCTACCTTAAGAAACAGAAAAACTTAGTACCATGATTTACTAATCACTATAATATACAGGTGTGTTGTAACTCGCAAAATGTATCAGAGGTAGTATGCTGAAGCAGAAAATGCTTAACTTATATCTCGTATTTAATTCGATGCTTCTTTAAATAGATATACAAGCGTTTAGTCTAAACACAATTCACTTCTATCCTTAGACTTGTTCAAGGGAAATGAGTACGTGATTGATT